TAAGGAAAAATTATATTAATTATTTTTTATAATAAATTTTTATTAAAAAAATATTTAAAAAAATATTGTTTTTAATACTAATATAATGTAAATGATTTTACAAAATAATTAAATAATTGATAAATTTAAATTTAACTTTTGTCTTTACCAGATAAATTAATGGTTTATTTAAGGCCTTGAGCCTAGGGTGCACTATTTTTAAGGCTTTCAACTAATTGACCTAAAAGTCCTAAATGTCCTAAAAGCCCTTCCTTTTGAGTTGTGATACACATTCATATATAAAAGGCGGAGTTGGGAGTAAAACTTGAACAGCATGGAAGATGACGAATATTAGGTGATTTAGGTTTGGACTTGTGGTATGGTACACCCTCATAAAGGCATATAAGGAAGTAAAGTACTCCCGTCAAGGCGTCAACATCCGACTTGGGCCCAACTTGAACAGGAGAGAAGGCCACTTTTTAGATTCGTCAATATTCCACGCGCTACAACATTCCACTCTGGTAACATGACAGACTCGAAAGATTGTGCGACAGTAAGGGGTCCACGGGACGCTGCAGCACTAGTTAAGAAGTGTAAACACCTACTATGGTGCATTCGCAAGCGGTTTGCAGTTCTCAACCGATCACAAAGACAGCACGGTTCTGAAAGTGGCGGAGTGATTACGGGATCACCAAATCACAATTGTCATTCCGTCTCTGTCCCCGAATCCGGCCGTCTTATAGGGTCATCTCTGGCAACGCCATCATATCCGGTCAGCTTCCATCTGAAAGTTTCCTCACTCTAGGTACGTGCAACTGTTTCTATAGTTTGATTGAGTTTTTAGGTGCTTGCTGAACCTTTTCCGTGTTGTCTACTGCTTACATATGGCTTCCATTAATGTCAAGTTTAATTGAGAGTTTCCATCTTCTTTCTTTAAAGGTTCTTGAAAAACTAATTAATTTGATGTTTCTGAAAACATCTGATTAAAGTTTCTTAGATTTACTGGCTTCCGTTGTAGTTTTGATCGAGCTTCCATCTTCATTCCTCAACTAAAGGTTCTTGAAAAACTAGTATATGATTTTTCTGAAATTGATTTTATTGAGGAATTCCTCTTTCCCTGTAATTAAGTTTCAGGTGGCTCATTTGGTAAATATGTCAATATAGGAGCAAGAATCGATTTACACCGAAATTTTAATTTTCGTTGTGTTCGATCAAGCACTAACGCTTGCGGAGGTATAATTTATGATCAAATGCAATGCACTTATATCTCGCTATGTTTAACTTGTGTGTAAGTACTGTTGTGATGAATCTGTTAGGGAAAGTACACAGGGGAGGGCAGGGCATGGATGTGTGTCTATTAAGGGATAGGATAGGATGGATATTTAGGTTTGTAGAGGATGCGTTCGTATATTATATTGCCTTATCATATGTTTGTTTTTTTTGGTAAAATTGGACAACTTGATAACAAAACCGATTCAACCTAACGTGCACAAACTTATTATTGCCTTATCATATGTTTGTTACCCTGCAGGAAAATGGGATTTTCACTCATTGAGTTGATCAAGAATTTTTGGGTAAAATTGGACAACTTGATAACAAAACCGATTCAACCTAACGTGCACAAACTTATTATTGCCATTCTCTTCTCGTCCTTTATGGTAATAGGACTGGTTATGTGGCACAACAACCGTACGCAGGAAGAGAATCTTAGATTGGTCTTCGCTGGTATCGCACCTGGTGTTTTGCTTCAGATGATTAATTTCAACAAATATATTCCAGAGATTAGAAAATGGAGGTGTCTGAGGTTAAAAGGACCTATAATTGAAACAGTGAATGCTATTTCCGGATGGTTCATTGCATTTGGCCTATCAAAAGTGTTCCATGATGCTGAATCCATGCTGAATTTTGTATTTGCTGGACTGTTTTTTCTCATGACACTCTCAATCTGGGACTTACTACGACCTGAGATTGATCTTGGTCTAGTGAGCGGGCTGTGCAGTTTCCTTTCTATTAAAGCTCCAATATTAGCAACTCGATATGAAAGGATCCCTGTTGGAATTGTTGCTATCTCTCTACTATATGTCCGTTTTCGTAGAGCTAAGGCAAGAAAGGATGATCAGAGTGCAGGGCAATCAGTCTAGGGAACAAGGGATATATGAGGCGAAACACCTTTTTCTCCCCACACCCAACAGGACATAGATGTAGCTTCTACCGTGGCTTCTGCCAGTTTAGGTATTATCACATAGGGCTTCTGAATAAGAATTGAGGAATGAGAAAACAGGGGAAAGTTTTATATTCCAGCTCTTCTGCACAGGCGTGTGTAAATTTGCTTAAAAGCCTGAAAGGTCGGTCTAAACATGGTATCTCCATTAGTATTTGTATCTATTGTAAAGAAATTTTTAAGATTCAAACACCAATGAGGCTTTATTTCAGTTGTTAAAGGACGGGTAAGGCTAGAGAGATCCTAGTTTCAAATTCTGTCACTCCACAATTGGTTGAATATCAAATTAAAAATTGTGATGTCTTTAGGACTAATTAAAGATATTACAAATCATTTGATAATTGCTCCTTTTATTCTAGTGAGACTTATAATATTATAAATTATTGCTTATTTCATTCTAATGGTATTACACTTATACTGTGGTATCCACACTTTAGATCATGGTAGTTGACTTTTCACCATTTTGTTTAAGGTTTTTATTTTGAATCCCTATCCAAAATAAAATGGGCTGGTTCTTAATTCTGAGTTTATACCGGTCTATTAAGACCGGCTCGACCGACATGACAAAGGCTCAAGCAGCCTAGCCTTGCTGGTTCTATTGGTTAGTCCAAGAACTTTCGGGCCCCGCCAGGGGTTCGAACCCTCTAGCCGGTGGCCGCCACCCCTTTCCCTTTCTAGAAAAATTATACCTATCCAATTTGTCCTTTTTAATGATATGCCTAGAAGTTATTTAATTTATATAACTTCTTTTGTTATAATTTTTACAT